TTTGGGAACTGACTCATATTTATGATAGTTGCAGTGTCCCAGGGTCATGTGACCACATTTTACGACTTTCTGACAAGCAAAGTCAATAGGGAAGCCAGAATCACTTAACAACTGTTGCTAACTTAACAACTTCAGTGATTTACTTAACAACTGTGGCAAGAAAGGTCGTAAAATAGGACACAACTCACTTAAATGTGTCACTCAGTAACAGAAATTTTGGACTCAATTGTGGTTGTACGTTGAGGACTATCTGTATACACATATGTAGCCATTTCAAAACAAGTGTTTACACAATAATTTGCAGTGTTTTCTCTGCAAATTAATGCAGAAATTGGACAGAGCAGCCATAATTAAATCCTGACTTAAAAATGAATTTAATTATTTCCTTTTACAGGCTGGGTAATTCTGGGAGTTGAAGCCCATATATCTTAAAGTTCACAAGGTTGAGATCTAGACAGTTCACATCCATTACAAAGTATGATTGGACCATAAAATATAGTTAAAACATTGTTAAGTCTTGTAGAATAAAATATAAAATTGTATGCAAAGTATAAGAACAAGTTGTCACAATATACCAAGAAGATTATGTCTAAAATGCAGAAAAAAATAGAGGGCAGACAAAAAACCTCTAAATATGGTTGTTTATTAGCATACTATTTGCTAGTATATGTTAATAATGTTGAATGTCGCCCAAATTTGATAATGGGCTGGAGGTGGGAGAACAAGCTGAAATCAAATCCAGGCAAGACAGGGTGCAATTGAAAAATAGGAACTAAATTGCAAGATCAGTTAAAACAAATATCAAAATTCAGGAGTATCTTAACAAACTGGCATAATGAGTAGAAACCAACAAGTTGAATACAAACTGAATAGCCTGGATAGGGAAAATCAAAGGCATGAATATAGAACAAGGAAGATCATAGTGGGAAGCAGTCAGTGGTGGGATTTAGCCAGTTTGTATCACTTCGGCAGAACTGGTAGCTAATTTTTTGTTGCCCAGGCTCAGAATGGACTTCCGGAAGCGGCATCCACACAGAGAACCGGTTGTTCACATATTTGAATCCCACCACTGGAAGCAGTGCATGCAAATGTAAGTGTGTCTTGCATGCAGTATGAAAATTCTCATCTAGAAACTCAATGACTATCTTTGCTGTATCTGATACAATTGTAAATAACACAAAATAATAAGTTTTCTGCAACAAGCTGAAATTTGAGTACTCTGATCTCTCTGTTCTGCATTGGTCAGACTACACTGAAAATCCTGTGTTCAAATCTCAGTAACATGTTTTAGTAAGGATGTAGGCACAGCAAACCAAGCAAGTTGCTGAAGGACCAGGAAGGAATAACCCACAATAAAAAATTGGAGACATTGGGTATGTTGGAGAAGACAAGACAACAAAGAGACACTAGCTTTCTCCAAATACTCAAATGGCTGTTATGTAGAATGGAGTTTTTCCAGCAGTGTTCTGTGAGAATGTGAGTGGATTTTTCAGGATTAAGACTAGGAGAAGAGGGGAACTTTCTCTCAAATGAATAGGTTTTTTTTCCTTTAGACTCTAAGGCACGTGTGTCAAACTCGCCGTGACACATGACGTGTCATGACATATTGCGACTTTTTTCACATTGTCTGAGCTGGGGTGGGCACAGTCTCCGCATGATGCAACCAGCCCATGGACCAGCAGTTTGACACCCCTGCTCTAAGGGGATATTCTGTAAATGTCAGAGGATTTTTTTTCCTTAGTCTATTGTGGAGAAGGTATTTTTCTTTGCCTTTAGTGACTACAGGGAAAAAACACACCTCTTCACAGGAAAAATATGAAAATAAGGAAAAAATAAATGGCTTAAATATTTGAAAAAGAATTATAAAGAGCAGGATGAAAAGAAGGAATAAAGTTAGAGAATAGCTTTGTACTGTGAATGAGTTTAAGTTTCCAGGACTAGACGAAGACAGTTTAAGTACAGTTTGAGAAAAGGTGGGAAAAGCACAAGGAAAGCAAATTTGATAACCATTGGATGACAACATGTAGATACCCTGTAAAAAGTTTATTAATAACATAAAGTAATTCCATATGAAACATTGTGGAAGCATAGCCTTCCTTTGAGAGTACAAATAATGAATAATATCTATTAGACTCAAATCAAATTTGAAAAGTTAAACCTGAAATTTGGATCCAGTATTGTCAGCTTGAACATATAAGTACTGGTATACTGAGGCCAAGTTAAAAAGTTCAAACCAGAACTATTTAAGATCTCATATTTTTTATCCAGTTTCCTTAATTTTTCTGGTCTTTTTTTAAAACAGGACTTGTAATTCTGAAAAAAAAGTAGATGTGTTCATTTATTTAATAACATAACTTTAGATTATGAAATATAAGTATTTAGATTGTGTCTGTACTATTTCATGATACAAATAAATACACAAAAAATAAATACATTTCAGAATTACTTATTTTAATTATAGGGGTCTTAAAAGAATCCACAACTTTTCTCCATAAACTTCCTGAATGCAATGGCTACTTGCAACAGTACAGGGAAAATTTTCTGGAAACCATCTAGATCCATGAGGTCTCTGAGGTGATCACCCTAATCAGTACTTCTACATCATGGAGCTCCCAGATGGCAACAACTCTCACCTGAACCAGGAAGTAATTTGACTATGGCAAAGTACTCACTGTCCATGTTCTCCATATCCAGACCACCCACCAACTGCTCCAAAACAAAGATAATTCTAAAATATCTTCATCTAAATAAGCCCAGTAACCATGTCTATCAGCACAAGAAGCAGTCCTGCCAGGAAAAAGAGTAGATGATACTTAAGCAGGATCCCTATCCTGTCTGTACAGCCAACTTAACATATAGACATTAACATCTAGTCGGCTCCAAAATAAGACTCTTGGACACCTGTCTCAGAAGATTATTGTCACCCCTTTTTTTTCTTTAATACTGAGACTGATGAAGAACCAAAATGCTATGTTCTTGTTCAAGTCTGACAACTCACCTACCACAGATGACTGATGTCTTGCTATAAATGGAGCTGGCATTTATTGGCACTAGTTTGAGTTCACTAGTCCTGTAACTTCCTAGGAAGTATAGATCAGCCCTGAACTGCAGGGTTTTTAAAATCTGTAATGATTTGCCCAACATTTCCCACCATATCTCTCCCATACTTCCATATTCTCATGTCAGGGGAACTTCTCCTACATTCTTGACTCTCACTCAGGAAAATAATCACTGCAATTGTCCTGATTACTCCAAAAGCATAAAACAGCAGACAGATTAACAACAAAATCTCCTCCAATATGTTTGCACTCTTGAATTATATCACTTGACTGACATCTAGAAAAACAGTTATAATAACAAAATAATTTCAGAAATCAATAACTGTTAGAAGTAACTTATAAGAGTTGGACGCTTCTTTTATTTTAAATAAATATTAATAGCTAAATAAAATTAGATATATATTTAAAGACTGATTTTACATATTTTTACTTATATGCTGATGCTTACATGAGGTCCCCATATTTCATCTACATCTTCAATTGTTTTGATTGTTTTATTGTATATTTTAATCATCTGATTCCAACTCTGTGCAGTATTTAAACAACGGACCTGTTAAAAACATAAGCACACAAAACTTAACCAAGAAAAGAATTCTCAGAATAGATAAACTCTTGAGATTCTGGTAACCATATATGTTTAGAATATTACTCTATTTTCTAAAGATTATTTGAATTTTTGTTACAGGTAGTCCTCACTTAACAATCATTTGTTCGACAACCATTCAAAANGTTTCGGGCATTTGAAAACCATGCAACATTTACATAGCACATAGCTTGAGGCCTGCTGGCACTGGGCTTCAATCTAACTAGCATGGAGCTTACTGCAGTGCAGGCTTGGGACAGCACTCTTTGGCACCAATAGCCAGGAGCTGAAGAAGAGGCCTGAGAGCAGAATTGATGGGATCAGGAGAGGGGGGCCTCTTTGAGCAATGTTTTTAGTAACTGTCTAATGTTTAGTAACTGATTAATGTTTCTAGTTCTTTGAAGCAACAGAACATTCTCCATGTGGAATGTGGCTTCTGATAAGAACCAGTTCAAACTGGCCAAGAAAGAAAATTGTGCAAAGATTTGAACTTTAGTAACTTGTAAACTCATTATATTCGTTATAATATGGGGAACGCATCTCCTGAATATAACAATGAGCATTAGCAAGACCATACTAAAATATTATATGATGCTATAAAATGTTATATGGTACATATAAAGCTACTGAATATGCTTGCTAAATCACAGATGAGTCAAATGATGCTAAACAATGAAAGAATACATTCCAAATCCAATATGTTTGAATTGTATATAAAGTGATTTCCTACCTTTCTGAAAGGCCCTTTACCTTGTATCTGTGGGGATCTGTAATTGTTTATGCATAAATAAAGAAATATCCATCTACCTTTTCAGCTCAGATCCTATTTAGGCAAAGGTACACCAGGCTAACAAATCTTGCTGGCATTTACAGCTAACAGAATCAGTGGACTGAGACGGTTGAAGACCCTAGGCCTTTACTCATCCTAGTGCTATTGACACTGGCACCATCGCTGAGTGCCATGTCAAGCCCTATGCCACAGCAAGCTCTGTGCCAACCAGTGGCAAGCCCCAGTGTTGCAGCATGAACCTCTGGCATCAGTGATCCCAGTGGAGTGGAGAAAGAAACAATTGCACCAAGGAGGAGCACAGAGAGGAAGGTCTGGGGCTTATCGCTAAGGGGAACAGTCAGATGATGTTTTATTTAACAACTGTTTTGCTCAGCGACAAAGTTGTTAGTCCCAATTAGGTTTGTTAAGTGAAAACGTGGAGCTGACTGTGGCTCAAATCATTAAAAAGCTAAGTTCATGGCATTCAGTCCTATTATTTCCTGGCAAATAGAAGGGGAAGAAATGGAATCAATGACAGATTTCGTTTTCTTGGGCTCCAAGGTCACTGCAAGTGGTGACTGCAGCCATGAAATTAAAAGACATTTGCTCCTTGGCAGGAAAACTATGGCAAACCTAGACAGCATAATAAAAAGTAGAGACATCACAAGGTCTGTATAATCAAAGCAATGGTTTTCTCAGTAGTAATGTATAACTGTGAGAGACAGACCATAAGGAGGGCTGAGGGCCGAAGAATTTATGCTTTCAAATTGTGGTGCTGGAGAAGACTCTTGAGAGTTCCTTGGACTGCAAGGAAATCAAATCAGTCAATCCTAAAGAAAATCAATCCTGACTGTTCTTTGGAAGGACATATACTGAAGTTGAAACTCAAATGATTTAGTCACCTAATGAGAAAAGAGGACTCATTGGAAAAGACCTTGATACTGTGGTTCCCTGAAAATAAACCCTAGCTTGTTTTTTCGGAGTGGGCTTAACATAATCATTAGGACCAGATGGACTACACCCCAAGGTTCTGAAGGAACTAGCAGATGTGATCTCAGAACCACTGAACTATCTCTTTCAAAGATCCTGGAGCACTGGGGAACTACCAGAGGACTGGAAAAGAGCTGATGTAGTTCCCATCTTCAAAAAGGAAAAAAAATGGATCTACAGACCTATCAGCCTGACCTCAATACCTGGGAAGATTCTGGAAAAGATAATCAACCAACGAATCAGCAAACACCTAGAGGCAAACAAAGTCATTACCAAAAGCCAACATGGATTTGTCAAAAACAGATCATGCTAGACAAATCTTATTGCATTCTTTGACCAAGTGACAAAATTAGTGGACCAGAGGAATGCTGTGGATATAATTTATTTGGACTTCAGTAAGGCATTTGATAAAGTAGATCACAACCTACTTCTTGATAAGAGAAAAATGTGGGTTAGATGGCATCACCACCAGAAGGATTAGAAGCTGGCTGACCAGCCGTACTCAGCGTGTGGTTCTCAATGCAACTGCATCTTCATGGAGGGAAGTGTATAGTGTGGTGCCCAGGGCTCTGTTCTGGGCCCAGTGCTCTTCAACATCTTCATCAATGATTTGGACGAGGGGATAGATCGGGAACTCATCAAATTTGCAGACGACACCAAGCTGGCAGGAATAGCCAACACTCCAGAAGACAGGCTTAGGATACAGGAGGATCTGGACAGACTTGAACACTGGGCGCTATCTAACAAAATGAAATTCAATGGTGAAAAAAGTAAGGTTCTACATTTAGGCAAGAAAAACCAAATGTATAGGTATAGTATAGGGGGTACCTTGCTCAATAGCAGTAACTGTGAGAGGGATCTCAGACTCCTAGTGGACAATCATTTAAATATGAGCCAGCAGTGTGCTGCAGCTGCCAAAAAAGCCAACACAGTGCTAGGCTGCATTAATAGAGGGATAGAATCAAGATCACATGAAGTGTTAATACCACTTTAAAACAGCTTGGTAAGGCCACACTTGGAATACTGCATCCAGTTTTGTTCACCACAATGTAAAAAAGATGTTGAGACTCTAGAAAGAGTACAGAGAAGAGCAACAAAGATGATTAGGGGACTGGAGGCTAAAACATACAAGGAACGGTTGCTGGAATTGGGTATGACTAGTTTTATGAAGAGAAGGACAAGGAGTGACATGATAGCAGTGTTCCAATATCTCAGAGATTGCCACAAAGAGGGAGTCAAGCTATTCTCCAAAGCATCTGAAGGCAGGAGAAGAAGCAATGGATGGAAGAACACCTCATGCCTCAACACCTCATGCCTCAACACCTGCCTCGCCTTGCAGCCCACATCTAAGGCCACTCGCCCAGAGGAAAGGCTTCTGCAGCCAAGAACCAAGCTCCAGATTGATGCACGCAGCACCTCCTGGACACTGAGGGGCACCGCGCGTGTCAATCCAGAGCTCAATTCTCAGCTGCAGAGGCTTTTCCTGAAGGCCTCTGACAGCGAAATGGAGGCTGGGGGCGATGCACGCAAACAGTGGTGAGCAGCCGCACAAGAAGTGGGCCGGTTGGGCGGTGTTGTTGGTTAGGGTTAGCCTATCCAAGTTTCTTTTTATTCCATCTTATAATAAACAACCAAAAGGGGATTATTTTGAATTTCTTTTTTACACTTGCTTCAATGTCTGGACTGGGTAATGTTTTTGCAAGTCCCTCCCTGACTGTTTTTTCACACCTTTCCCAAAAGTACCTTTAAATTCCTTTGCATAGCACAGAAAAAGGCAAAAGACAGTTCTAGTCTCTATTTTTCCATTCATTTTTTTCTAAGCCAGTCAGGTGACTGGAGCTTTAGATATGGAACAAGTGTTAGTATTTTCTCTGCCTTTCTTTCTAAGAAAGAAAACTGATCCAAATACCTTATTTCAATTCATCAATCTATATTATACAAACAGATACAAAATAATAATAAAGTACAAAAATCATCAATCAATTTACCTTTTCCATAGTTGCCCTGTAGTAAAAGTCAGTCCTCCCATTCATCTCCCACAATATATAGTTTGCCTCAACTGGTATGAGAGTCCGGTGATCCTTATATCTGTATATAAAGAAGCACAGTACAGTAGCTTTTCTAAGAGTGTAAAGCCATAGTAAGGATCCAAGTGTATTTATCATTTGCTAACTTCTACCTCCCTTCCAATAAATCTTCTAATTTTGCTAGCATTTGTCCTTTGTCAAATGAAACTGAAAGTTTTGCACAGACCGGAGAGAACCCTCCACCGTTTTCAGGGGCATTTATGGGACAAGGGTCAAGATGACAGTTGTGACTATATGATTGGAATCTTGTTCCTTTGTGCACATAAAAAGGTGTAGGTCTACAATGGCACACAGTTGTGGTCACCATCTTGATTTTTTTTGACACCTTCAATTCTTCTCATGAAGAGTTGGGGAAAGGGTCTATAATGCATCTTTTTCTCATTCTTCACACTGTTTTAGTTTTACTTACATCTCAACGTGAGGATAAAAATCTTGAGTATAATGGCTCTGTAATGGGCAGCCATATTTTTCTATATCAAATATTACTTCCTATGGAAAAGACAGTTTAGTATGGTTAGAAAACAAAAACAAACAAGTTGCATTGGTTCACTAAAATAAAACAGTAATTCTTACCATGTTTCCTTTGCCTTTGTCTCTGAGATACTTCCTAATGTGAGAGAAAGAGGTTCTGAACTGTAATTGTAATATTCCAATATTAAACATCCCATTCAATATTCTCTATGCCATCTGCATTGGATAAATGACTTGGCCTTTTGCCACTTAATAAGGAATATAAGATCTCTAGGTTTTTGATGGGTGGCCAGTCATAACACAATATATTTCTGATATATATGAGAATTAATGTAGGGGATGGTTATGAAACAACTCATCATAATTACTATTACCAATAATTAACGATATTTCCAGGATATGTGTGAATGAAATGTCTATTAATATTGTATTCAGTTGCACAGTCAGCCATGTTTAGACTGGATTTGGCCATTTTTTATCCACCTACTGAGTCCTTCTAAAGGACCTGGTATAGGTATTTAAGGTATTGTCACAGATTGCAAATTGCTCCTAATAAAGCTACCTTTTGCACTTGACTGTGATTTTGTCCATGCTAATGGTGCTCCAGTTGTTTTGGCATTTCACTGTCCCGTTACTATTGGTACTATCTTTACTTTCTTTTGTCACAATTGTTCTATCTAGGGCTTTTAGTTACATTTGAGTCTAGTCCAATATTTCAGCTGGGTATCTAAGGACTGGATTCGCCCAGGTGTTAATTGTCTTGATAGTATTTTCTCCACTGAGTTTGGACTTTAAGATCTTCCTCATACTCATGTGTTCACTTCTAATCTTCTTCTTGATATCAGTGTATTTGATGTTGTCAGTTTGAAGGGTGCTCAGATATTTGTAGTAATTGTTTTCATCCAGAATCTTTATGTTATCTCCACAGGACATCTAGATTTCTTTAGTTTTCACTATTTTTTTCCTGTTGATGGTGAGGGTGGCACATTTGTCCAATCCAAATTACATTGCAATGTTTTGGCTGTATGTACAGGCAGTGTTGAGCAGCAATTTTATTTTAGATAATGTTTTTTCCATAGAGTTTAAATGCATGCTCATGTAAATGAGGTAGGATAGCCTGGCAGGTGTTTTTGTTGTTTAATAGCCATGGTCTGACTTGACAGATGAATCTGTGGAACAATAAACAAACACTAACGGTGATAGTGAGTCTCTTTCAAAATTTCCTCTTAATAGCAATAGCACTAGCAATAGCACTTAGACTTATATACCATCCCATAGTGATTTACAGCACTCTCTGGGCAGTTTATAATGTCAGCCTATTGCTGGGTCCTCATTTTACTGACCTCAGAAGGATGGAAGCTGAGTCAACTTGATATTAACCTTTTCCAGTCTATCACCATTCACCAGCAGCTCTGTCTTCCATTGTGTTCTTGATCTTTGCAGAAAGCTTTTGTTTTCTACTGATTCATATAGCAAGGAGTTGAATGCCTTCATATAATTAATCCATGCTACATTCAAGTTGATCTTCTTTCTTTTGTAATTTTCCAAAATCATCTTATTAATTAGGAGCTGATCTTTTGTTCTTGTGATGTTTAGGCAATTTTCTTTCTGCTCAGGTGGAAAGAGTTTGTTTTCAACTAGATGCTACTGGACTGCTATCACATCAGTTACAATTTGAAAGCTGTTGATAAGCAGATAATTGGCCTGTAATTGTCTGGTGCTGCCCCCTTTGTTTGATATTTCATTGTTAGGTAGGTTTTGCCAGATATTAACCACTCGTCAATTTTACCTCTTGCAGTATGCTGTTAAATTGCTTGGTAATGAGTGGGTGTAGATTAGTCAGATGTTTCAACCAAAAACCAAGCAATTCCTCTTTATCTGGTGCTGACCAATTCTTGATCTTTCTTACTCTTTTCTCCACCATTTTTTGCTGCTATTACAAGTTCTTTCAGATCAGTTTTTATTTTTATCCATCTCTTTTGTCCAAGTTTCATTCTTGTTGCATGCAACCAGAACTGTGCTGTCTTCTTTATCAGGTGTTGACTGGTTCATTGCAGTCTCTCTGGTGGTGGATTTGTAGAAACATTTCTAATCCGACTGAAATTGGAGATTCTGCCTATGGTGTGCATTTCAAGCTTCATATCTGCTGATCTTCATGCGTATAGCTGCTAATACAGCTGCTGCTTTATTATTTCCAGGACTTCCTTACTCTTTATTGTTTCAAGATGATATTTCTTGAATAAGCATTCTTTGGTCTTCTTGTTCTTTAGCTTCTTTTCTTTTATCTGCTCTAGGTTGCTTGCATCTAATCTCAACTTGCTGATCTTATTTTCCAGGCTGAGCTTCCATTTTGATGATGCACTGTTTGGCTTTTTAAAAAAATCAGTTGTTGCTACTTTATTTGCAGGAAGAGTATAATAAATAAAGAAGCCTTTATGGTCCATTGCTACACTCAATATTCAGAATTAGAATTTAACCATTTTAAATGTTTAGCCTATATGTATATAGGCTAATACACTTCTTACCGTGGTATAGTGAAAGTATAATTCTCACATTGTGTAGGTTTCCTATGACAAAATAGAAAAAGGTGTTTATATAATTTTTTTTAAAAAAAGCATTGCCTCAACGTGACTTTTAACCTTCTGTTTCAGTGTCCCCAAATCACCTCTTGAGGCTAGTTGGTTAAAACTGTAAAAATGTATTTATTGATCAAATTCTTACCAGAGAGAGAGAGAGAGAGAGACAGACAGACAGACAGACAGACAGACAGACAGACAGACAGACGATAGACACAGAATTAAAGTACCTAACAAAATATTTTACACAATTCCCAACAAATGTAAACTTTGCTAAAACTCTAAGGGTTTACAATATTTTAAAAGGCTATGAGAAGGGTAGCAGGGTAGATTTCCCTTGAAAACATTCTCTTTTTATATATAATTTTTATTAAACAAGCTTTCAACAGAATAAAGGCAATACAAATTTTGAATTGAAGGTAAAAAGAATATGGAAAAGTAATAAAAAGTGAAAAATAAATAGAAAAGAAAGAAAAAAGAATGCAATACACCCCAACTTCTAATAAAGGGAAGGCATTTTACACGCAAAAATGAAATAAAATACAATATACAATAAATTACACAGATAGGTGCACTATTTACTTTTAAAAGCATGTAAGAATAAGATGTTTTTACAGCTTACAGAGGACAAACAAGCTAGGAGCTCCCTTACTGATGGAAGAATTCTGAATTTTTAAGTCTGATTTTTACTTTTTTTACACTGTGGTTTTAGTCAAGTGTTTGTTTTATTATGTTGTTGTAAATAGTCCAGAGTCAGTTAGGTGAGAGAGGCAGTGTAGAAATTTAATAAATAAATAATAAACAAACAAACAAAAGTTTCCACAATGTGAGAGGCTGACATCAAGAAGTCACAACCGACTTCCGGTTTTGGGTTGCAGTGGGTGCAGGCATATGAAGAGACTCTCTCTCTTCGTTACCTGCGGTAGACCCTTAATCGGGTCGAAAAGTCACCCTGGAGGGGTGACTACCGATGAGGAGGACTCTCGTTGATTGCGGGGGGAGGCAGCTCCTTCCGCGGTCTGAGGCAGCTCCTCAGGGCCGACGGAGAAAAGATTGGCCAGTAACATGGCCGATCATTTAGCTGCTCCAGCTGAAAGTCAAAAGAACATCTAAGCGTTAAGAAACCATCGTGGATGATCCCGGTGAGACTTTTCCCTCTCTCTCTTTGCCTAACTACTCTCCTGTTAAAAGCCTTTTGGAATTACTTCCCTGCTTTGAAAGAGCTGCCTTTGTTTATCTGGGGGAAAGAGCTTTCCATAACAAAGGAAAAAACTTCTTATTGACTATTTTTATTTTTGGTTACTTGGGGGCCCTGGAAAAATCCTTATCATAAAACTTTATTATTATATCTTCTAAGCTGGAGAATATTGTTTTCCTATGTCTTGGACTTATTTTTTTAAAGGGATAAATCTTTATTGTTTGGGAAAAAAAAAACTCCATGAGAAGCCGGAAAAGAGATTCCATAGCTCTTTGACTTTGCTAATCTCATTCTTGGTGTCTGGAAGAGACTTTCATAGTTTACTGAGGACATCTTGTGGAGAAATTTAAAACTGCAACCGTTTCTTGTTTGTGTTACTACTGAAATGGAGAAACCATATTCACAACTCAACTGTAAACTCATGCTGGAAAAAATTTATGAAGCTGCTGAGGAAATATGTTCCCAAATAAGAGAGAGAACTGCAGAAATAATAAACAGAAATTCTACTGTGAACTTACAAACTGACCTTCAGACTCTATTTGATCATTCTACAGACCAAAAAGCAATAGAAGAGGAATTAATTTACATACAACCTATGGAGACTTTGGATGACCAAAAAATGATTGTAACTAAACTATCTACAATTGCAAAACTAACAGAAATGGACTTGAAATTACAACTGTTGGAGAATTATGACAACTTTGATAATCAACTATTAATTATAAAATTGGACAAGATCAAGTGTTTTATCCAGCAGACAGGAGCCAGGCGTCAAAAACAGAGGATGGGAGGTCTTTTACTGACCCAAATGACATTACAAGCAATAATGGGAGATCCATTTGCTGAAAAAGAGGCTTTGTTATGGAAACCTGCTTGGCATAAAAAGAAAGCCAGAATAAGACTAAAAAGAGAAATTTAAAATTATATGCAATGGATTAAAAAGGTTTTGAGAAATATGGATTGATTTAAGGACTAAGATTTAGAGTTGAAAATTTGTGATTATTAGAATATATATGTTAAACAGAGTAAAAATGTATTTTTTGGAATAATATGTTTATTTGTATGAAAATTATTTTGTAATGGAATGAGAATAAGAATATGAAAGAGGTTTTTAGAAATTCAGATTGCTTTAACAACTAATTGAGTGTGTTAAGTTAGTAAGACGATGTTTTGTGTAATAATAGGTGTGTTCTTTTTTTAGACATAATTATTTGAATGAGATTTAAATGCTATCTGAAGAAATA